GGAGGGGTTTGGGGGGAGGGGGGTATGTTGCCACGACTCAAAAGAAAGTATACAAGAAAGCACGGCCAAAAACTTGAGCAGTAATTGAAGAAACAATCGCGTTCTGAAGTGTAAAGGCTGAATTTACATTTATATGACGTTACAATGTCTGCTCCCGAGAACTCAATAATATAATATTAAGCAAAGACCGTGCTTGCTTTTTTCTGTGACGGTTGAGATTCAGGCAAACGTAACGTAAGCCAGCGGGGAACATCTGCCTGATCCTTGTGGACCACCTGTTTCCTACGTTATACGCCAGCCCTGGACAAGCTTGGCCTGTGCCGATATTGATTTCTAGCCAGTCTGATAGTGTTAGGACAGGCAAAATGGGATGTAGGAGGCTATAAGGTACGAATATATTTACGAACAATAACTGTTTGCTGCAAGCTTAATTAATAGAACGTTGAGGTGAATGAATAATGTTATCATTGTGTTGTAGGGAACTATAAGATACGAATGTTATTGTGTACAAAGCATAGTTTGCAGCAAACCTAATACGACGTTGAGGTGAATGAACTTGTGATGTAGGAGAGTATAAAATAAGTGTATTATGTACAAAGCATGACTGTTTGCAATAAGCTTAATTAATCGTTGAGGTTAATGAACATTCTCCTCACTCCTCTCCGGTTATGGCGAGACAGAAGTTTATTACAACGTTTTTATTAGAATTCTTGTCTCCGCACTAAGTCAATTTTGGTGTTGCGTTGTAATGTTCCGATTTTAACTTCCAGGTGTGTGAAAGATTTCCTCATAGCCAGGTTTTAAAAATGAAGATTAGATACTTTCAACCCTCACAAAAGATAATAGAATTGCACCCTCCTCCCCCCCCCCCCCCCCCAAGCATCGATTTCAGCGGCCTGCAACAGGCAATAAAACATTCACGTTTAAAAAAAAAAAAAATAGATCGGAAAATTCCAGCCTTGAACCCATCGAATGGTGATTGTATGCAAGTCTGGACACAGACAAAAGCTTTGAAAAATCCCCATTTGTGGAGCCCACGGCTAGGCTTACCATCAACAGGTGTGAATAGTATTTAATTAGTAACTGTTCTAAAAATGTGCTGACGTTCTGAATCTGTCCGACAATGCGAGGATGCTTCAGTGAGCCTAGTAGAGGAGACATCTTCTAAATTAGTAGGAAACATTCGAGATGTTTGCATGGTCACTTTTGTTGACAACTGAATCTATTCCCAAAATATTATGATTTATTCCCCTGTCTGAATGAAATGCTATACTTATCAATGCCTCAATGTGAACAAAATAAATAAATGCATAGGCAAATCTATAAACAAACTAATGAAAGGAAGTAAGAAAGAAAGACAGAAAGAAAGAAAGAAAGGCAGACAGAAAGACAGAAAGACAGAAAGAAAGAAAGAAAGACAGAAAGAAAGACAGAAAGAAAGAAAGAAAGAAAGACAGAAAGAAAGAAAGAAAGAAAGAAAGAAAGAAAGAAAGAAAGAAAGAAAGAAAGAAAGGAAGGGAGGAGGGAAGGAAGAACGAAAGAAAGAAAGAAAAAAAGAAAGAAATGTTTAATGGACGAAGGTAAATAAAAAGAAACCCATCACTGAGAATTGTGCTCCTCACGGTTTGAGTTTAGATGATCTTGGAGGCAAACAATAAGCTACAAAATCGGTCACGTATACATAGGCGCTATACTTGAGCAAAGATTGTACATATTAACAAGATAGTTTACTCACCAAAAAAGCGTCTACAGAAATCCGCGCATTGGTTCAGATGTCGCTGCAGTCTTTGTTTTGAAGCTCTCTTTCGTTTCTCCAGAAGAAAAAGAGGAAAAACACCCCTTTCTGCATCAGCTGTTCCGGTTCGCTCAGTGCGGAGTTTTGGGTTTATTTTATTTTACTGACCTCTCGCTTCTCGTTCTTAAGCCAAATTAAACATAGAAAACTGTCGCCTCTTCCATCATAAGAGGATTTTTGTCAGCAAAACCATACTTTAAAAATGAGTTTTTCCGAAATTTTAATTTTAATTTATAAAAAAACGTGTTAGTTTCTCTTTGATTTTTTTCCACACAAGTATGGTAACTCTGTTCGCAAAGAGGGCGCTTTTTCGAAGAGGGCGGCACCGGGTTTTGAGGACATTTTTTTTAATTGGTTCAAAGAGAGGAGTGAACCGTCTTGTTATACAGAATCTTTGACTTGAGTAACTGTACCTGACTACCTACGTTCAGCGATACCGATTACCTGCGCTATACTGGAACAAAGATAGTACTTAACAAGATGGGCCACTCAGCCAAAAAAGTGTCCGCCGGAAGTCCGCTCTTTGCTTCAGATGGCGCTGCAGTCTGTTTTGAAGCTCTCTTTCGTTTTTCCAGAAGAAGAATAGGAATAGCACCTCTTTGCGTGCGCAAATCGACTGCTGTTCATCAGCAGTTCGGGTTCGTTCAGTGCGGAGTTTTAGGGTGTTTTTTTTTTTGTTTTTTGTTTTAATGACCTCTCGCCTTTCATTCTAAAGTCAAATTAAAGGAAGAAAACAATCACCCTTTCCTCTGGAAAAGGTTTTTTGTCGGCGTAACCATTAAAAAAAGCGTTCTTCCGAAATTTATTCAAAAACCTGCTAGTTTCACTTTGATTTTTTTAAACACAAGTAGGGTAACTCTGTTCGCAAAAGGTGCGCATTTGCGAAGAGGGCGCCACCGAAATTTGAGGACACTTTTTTAATTGGCTCAAAGAGAGGAGTGGCCCCTCTTGTTATGTAGACTCTTTGACTGGAGTGGTTGTACCCGACTACTGATGTCTAGCGATACCGGTCACTCGTAACCGCTTGCTGTGAAAGAGTCGCCCCGGTTCATATTGCCAGAAGAAGAAGAAGAAGAAGAAGAAGAAGAAGAAGAAGAAGAAGAAGAAGAAGAAATGAATGAATAGCATTTGTATAGCTCATAAACCAGCTCTACAGCAAACTCTCTGCGCTATTAAACTATAATTTATATTATTACCCACGCAGTGGACTATAGATCATTCAGAAACATTCTCAGCTTCTAGGAAAGCATACAGTGCGAGCAGCTGATTAAGCCATAATATTGATTATTAATTAAAGGAGAATTTTACTCACTGAGGCTAATTGGAAGTGAATGCGGCTATTGAAAACACATTTTTAAAGGGAGCAGCTTTGTTATTTTCCGTTACTGCTGCTGTTGCTTGCTCTTTTTTATGTGCGACTGGGATTTGTATATCTCCTCTGGTAGAATCATGTGTCATGAGACCTTGCTTTTGTTTTGACCAATGTTATAAGTCATGAGCCTGTCTGGTTTCTTTGAGTAAATTCCTGTACAAAGGAACGATATGTGTCATACGTTGTAGAATCAGGCCCTCGTCAGTTTTTGGGCATATTATGAGGGCTATTGGTATCATTTTAAATCTTGTTCATTTATTTTGCTTTCAGTGAAAAAAATTACCCATATACCTTCAACAGAAGTGGAGATATGTCGAATTGAAGCAGGTGAAGTCATTTGGTTTCAGAAGAAGAATTCGAGAGAAAATGGCCACCAAAGTTTGGCTACTTCCAAAGCTTGCGAATCATTGGAAACTGTAAATATACGTTTTTGTGCCTTTAATAAACAAATTTTAGTGAAAAGCCACGCAGCAATGTGTTTCTAAATGACATAGATATTGCCAATTGGGAAGAAAAATGTTTTCTTCTATTTCATTATTTTGACGAGCGCCTGATTTCACCACGATACCTCACATATTTTATTTTAACTAGCAGATTGGTCAGTCTCCTATTCCAATGTGTGACTCCAGCTCACACATTCTAGATGGCAGACTGGTGCTAGTAGACGGAGGGTGCTAATGGTAGGTCGTACTTCGTTTCATTTCTTATTTCGTTTCTGCTCAACTTAGATCTCTATTTTTCAGTGCTCTGAATGATCGTGTTTGTGTTGTTGAGCTTCTCTGTTCTCAAACAAAACGGAAAAAAGAGAGTGGGTCGTTTTTATTTATTTATTGTGGGATTGTTATTTTGTTTTTGGTTGGGGTTTTCGTTCTGGGTTTGTTTTTGTTTGTTTTTTGTTTTGTTTTTAACTTATTAATCATTTGGTG